TATAAAAGTTTTACTTAAAAGTGTTGCTAGAAGGGAAAGGGAGGTTTTGAAAACAGGAAATGTTAGATGGGAATATCAGATAAGAGGACATGGAATGAGAGACAAGATTGACAGCAGTCTTACAGGGCACAAGGGAAGAGAAAGAGAAGCAGGGAAACACCCCACAAAAGCCCACCCCCCCAACAAACCACACAGGCAGAAAAACGGTATCTCCATCATGTTGTGACAAGAACAGAAAAGCCAGTTCTCTCCATTTTCTGCTTCTTGGTTATAACAGTGAATTAAACATTATGCATGAATTAAACATTATACACAAACAGTTCAACTTTGACATTACAAGAGATTACATTGATTTTGAATTTTAAATGATGACAATTAAAGAAACAATAATCCATGGTAGATTGAATTAAACACCAAAACAAATGTGATTAAATGGTCATGCTGCATGCACACATATATTTTTAGGAAAGCGATACAGTTTTCTGGAGAAATGACAAACTAGAAATAAAGCATCTTGGTCTTGGTTAGGCATGTAACCCTGGTTCCCGCAATAAAGAGCAAAAAGCTATGTCAGGAGCTGACTCCCAGGGTTGACGAATGTCTGAAGTACCCCTGTGTCACCAGAGCTTCATAAGGAAGTGCCCAAAGAATCACTATAGACTTTGATGCATTAAGTAAACAGAAGCGAATAAGTATACTACAGGCTATGCAGAGTCTTGTTCTCTATTCAGGGAACCAGGGTTACATACATAACTGATACATACAGGTTTATATATTCCTTTCATATGTTCACTCGATCCTATGAAAGCTGTCAGTAGCTGACGCATCGGAAACCCTATACCATATACAGTATTTAAATGATAGAATTTAATAAAAGTGAAGGCAAACTCATCCTGTCTATGGATTTATGCAGGAAACTACATAATGTCTGGATGAAAATTGCTAAAAGCAAGAAAAAACACCATCTTCAGGCATTGAATGTGCAATGAGAGTTGCTCTGAGACTCTGCAAGCTGGATGACCGTTGTAGACTGCACCCCAGCCTACTAGTGAGGCATCTTTCATAATCATCTTATGAAATGATTCTCATTGCTGACATGCTAAGTCTTTTGACTGCTCTAGAATCAGCTTCAAGGTTCAGCACACGGATGCCCTGAAGTTGCAACTGAGCCAGGGCAGCATCTGTGCTCTTTGTAAATGCATGAGGTGCTAAGACTAGGCCAAAAGCAATCACTCAAAATTGGCAAGCTTTGCCCCCAACATGATCTAAGTAAATCAAAATAAAATCTATTGTGATAAACCAACCTCCTTGCCAAATCTTTGTCATAATATATGCTTTTGTGTAAGCATCCTAAAAATGCACATCTGAAGAGTGTAGTTCCAAGACGGGGTGTAAGGCAGGGTGCAACGTTTATTAAGAGGGCGAAGACGGTAAGAGATAGGCAGCAAGCATTTCTGCTGGGATTGCTTATACCCCTGCTCCACTAAATCTATGATGGTGGTGAAGTCAGAAGTAGGATTACTTAGTTCGGATTAGGGACACGAACTAAGAATCTCTAATTACAAGATCTCGATCACTCATTATGGAGATCTGGAAAGAACGGAAGCAGTCTTCACAATGGACACAAAGTATAACCAGCCAGAAAGCGGTTATTCAGTTTGGACTGCTTTCCTGCTGGGCTGCATCTGGCCAGTCCAGCTTTACACTGTTGACAACATGTGAAACCACCTTAGTAAACTCTTTAAAAGCTAGAGAGGGCCACGCCTCCTGATTGCTAGGGGTCGTCAAACCTGAAAGAAACTGCACCATGTGCACACAGCTCATCATGAGCAAATTCAACTGGAGGAATACAGTTGACATGATCAGGTGAGAGACAGGTTGGATCCCCAGGGATCTCATGAGGTGCCACAACAAGGGCACAGACAGAGTGACAGGGGGTTGACCAATCTTTTTTTCTCAAAAAGAAGGTGAGCCAGGAGCAAATCACTTAAACTTTTATTTATTTATTAGTTTTCACAGTGCACACAATCAGATGTACCACTGAGTGCTGCTCAAGCATGAGAAATTAGGTATACACTTCCTAATTGATGAGCAACAAAGAGATGAGATTCAAACAAGCTGGTTGCTGAAGCATAAAATTTCAATGCAAAGAAAAAACAAAAATGTTTATCACAGGCTAGATAAATCGTTTCCTGCATGAAGAATACAAAATCGGAGGAGTTTTGGTATGGATGCTTTTCTATGGAGCACACAGTGCCTTGAGTGTTTCTATTCAGGCTTCAGACAATTTATATGGGCTTCTGATGCAGAATCGAGTGAACCTATGAAAGGGAACCATATTTAATATATTATGAAGGTTATATTTATTATAGTCTCAGCCTCAGATGCCAAACCCTCTCATGTTAGAAGAAAGCCGTCGTGTTTACAACTGTAACAATGAGTGCTTATCAGGATCAACTAAACGCTGGATTTTCAAAAGTATGTGAAATATTCATAGTTTGTGGCATAGAATCTTTAAAATATGTTCAAGAATTTACGCACCAGTCTGTTATTGTGGCGGCATTTCCACGCCCATAAACATGATGCGGCACAAAACGAAATGTGATTGGTTGCTTTACCTGTCAGTCATATGGCCTCTTGGGCAGGCCTTAGCCATTCAAAGCAGCCAAGGTTCCCAGACCTTCTGCCTTCAGTCTGAAGGTCTGGCTACGCGAGACTATATTTATGATAACTTATAAATAAACTTAGCATTGAGGTCAATGCAGTGCAATCTGATTTACAGAACCTTACTTGAGTGGAGGAAAAAAAAACATCCAAAGCAAAAAAAGAAACGTCCTTTTATCAGGATACTGCATTTTAAAGATAATTTTGTAACATCCAAATAAGCCTTACAGATGTTTTTTTGAAAGTGTTTAAACAATTTTTTTTTTTCATTGTTTACTCATTATTTCATTCCTGTTCATCAGATGTCTGTGAAATCTGCTCCATGTATGTAATCTTTTAATGTTCATAAAAAAATATTTACACATATGAAGAAATTTGATGAAAAAAAAAACTGTTGAAAGTGGGAGGATGTTCTTTTATTGCGCTGAGTTTATTACATAATTTATAACATTTCAAAACAGAAATGTGTCAAGGTTACTGTAAATTATTTCAAGTGCCATGCTAATGCATCTACAGTATAAAACTAGATGATTTTGTGTTATTAAATTAAACTACTTTTTATGACCAATATCTGGAATTATATATTTAATTAAACAACTGTATATTTAGACGTTAGGATATGTTAGGACTTAGTTTTAGACTTTTAAACAACTTAAAAACTGAAATGGGTCTGAATTTCCTGCTTACTACATATTGCAGTGGCACATTCCGTGACATTTAAAACTGAACATAGTGGCACAGTGTAAGTCTATGAAACAGGCAGGTGAAACGAAAGGAATCATGCAAGAGAAGAAGCCAATACAGGGCCATTACAAAAGCAAGAGCCTGTTGTCAATGGACTTACTCTGTATTTCTTGCTGGAGCAAGAATCACTGTAATAAATATTTTCACTTGACAATAATAAACAAAGAATTATTTTTTTCTGGCTTTTATGATTATGGGATGGTAAAATGCTATGTTAGTAATGAAACTCTGAATGATGACAAACAAATATTTATACAAATACAGTTGGAGTAAAAAAATACGTGAACCCTTTGACTATACCAGACTTTTTTTTATTAAAAATCGGCTATAAAATTTTAATGTGAACTAAACCACAACAATAGACAAACACAGTTTATTAAAACAAATGAAAGTGCCAAAAACATGGCATAAACATTCATCGTGTAGGAAGGGAAAAATGTGTGCACTCTTAGATCACCCTTAATGATTTTAAATGTATAAGGAAACCATGTTTGTCTGTTGTTTCAACTTCAGTGAAGATCAGATTAAATTGTGTGAATAATTTATGCTGAAAATCAAAGAGTTCATAAACTTTTTCCTGCAACTATAAATATTGCTATTTGCTATTGCTATTGTAGAAGAGAATCCATTAAATGTAAGATCTTCACACTGATCTTCAACTCCATGGCCCACATTCGGTCTATATAAAGGCTTTGTGCCTAAACTGCTTTGTAAATGTCCATTGACATCAGATCTAATCAATAAAGAGAGTGAAAGTTTCATTCCCTGTTTCACAACATCTATGTCACAATCACCTTTTCTCCTCTTTCCCCCATGTTGCCCTTGTCTCCCTTTAAGCCTGGTAACCCCTGCAAAAATACAACTTCAAGTAATTACAAATGCCTGGATACTCATTGGTTCAGGGGTAAAGATCTTCAAAGATATTGCTGACAGCTACTAGAGGGCAGAACAGTTGCAGGAAGCAACCCAGGAGACAATACATGATAAGAGTCAACACACAAGCAGTAAATGAGTGACAACTCACATCCATTCCAGGTGTTCCAGCAGCTCCCTTCAAAAAAGAAGAAAAAAAGCAAAATATTTTCTGGAACTACAATACTGAATATTGTGACCATTATTAAATGGCCAAATAATTAACAATTCTTTGAATACTTACAGGTAACCCATATGGCCCTCTGGGTCCAGGATCACCAACATCACCCTTCTCACCCTGTGACAGGTACATTGAACAGCACCTTTTATATAAACAAATCTAGTGTCTAGTATTACCATAAACCCTTAAACATGCTAAGACTGTGCTGTGAGGATCAGCAGGTGTCCCTGTGCTGGTCATTTGAAATCCTGAGCTTAAAACAGTAAAACACTGTGAGAATTCAGGTAAATCAGAGATTAAAAACATAAACTAGCATGCAATATTCATATTGTTTAAGTGTAATTGTCTACCTTACAGTTCTATGCTAAAATTAGGAAAAAAAAGCAGAAAACAAACATAAAATTCTAAATAAAAATAAAATAAATAAAATTATATAAAATATAATAAAACTTACTCTATCGCCCTTTGGACCTGCTGGACCAGGAGTCCCAAGTGGTCCATCCATACCCTATAAATAAAGGAGTGTATAACGTTTTGTGCTTTCATAAAAACCTACATGTCAACACAGTTAATTAGGAAAATCAGGCTACCGTTTTTTTTTTTTTTTTGATTCTGCTCTCTATGTTAATCTTTAGACTCTATCTTTAGTAATTGGTCATGCAAATCTCAAATAAATACACGGAGGAGCATATAAAATAAATGGCATGTTAATGGATGAGCAAGTGTTAAATCTGTGTTAATGTCAAACTCAGCAGCAGAAACACAGAGTATCTCCTGTTGTTGTTTAATCTCTCACTGTCACAGAGAGCTTAACATTAATGAAACATTACCAACGAGTCTAACCACATTCCCCCTTCACCATAAATGTGTCACATGACCTATGGAATCAAATTCCCGCCAAATGTATTGCAGTCAGGGATAAAAAAATAACAAGCGTGAAACCAAAATTTAAACACATCTAAAATCATAATGCAAAATTATCCGAATTGCACACAGAATCATGCTTTCCTTGCTTATATTTCTCTGTTTTTTGTGCTCAGACAATTTCTGCACATATTTTTATTCTTTGTATTCTTATGCTGTTTTTCCCTTCGCTCGTTTCCACATTTTGCGCTTGCTTTTCCAAATGTTGCGGTTAGAGTTTCATGTAAATCAGGGTGGGCTGAAGTGTCATCATTGGTCCAGTAGTTCTAGATTGACAGTTCCTCCTCTTGCCAATCAGATGAAGAGGGGCAGTGACGTCACTCCAACGCACCTCATTAGCTGCCGATGCTCAGTGTTCTGTTCACTTGTACAGGTGAAAATGGATAACTGTCAGCTGGGAGACATATTTCCATACAGGACACGGTTATATGTGTCTGTCTGTCACTGCTGTACGCCTACCTGGCGAGCAGTTAACGTTAAATGAGTAAATCAGTAAATTAATTTTGAATGAATGTAATGTTTTTGCATGGAAAACGATAGTGTTACAGAGTAGACAGTTGAGGACAAGTGGATTTGATATACACAATGATTTATTTGCATATTGTGTTTATTTACAATAAATAATAAAGTGAATCATTCAACAATACAAAAGGCTGCTGTGTTGCTTGTAGGGGACACTGTTCTGCTGTGGCTTTTTTTGGACGCTTCGTCAAAATAGAGCAAAATGAGAAAATAGTTACAATTAATAGTTACTATTAATAGTACACTCACTCAAAATATACTTCTTGTTATATTGATTCAGTGCAGTAAATATTTGCAATGGTCCTGATATTAGGAAAAACACTCTTCCTCGTGTTTTGCTTAACTGTATGTCATAAAATAAATTATAGTGCCATTCTTTACAAACAACTTTTATTTTAAATGCTAAGCCTATATCTTATTTAAAACGAAACTAAAAACTGAACCTCCTGCTGGGCTCATATAGGCTTACCTCTCATTTCCATGACTGAATCGTTAGACGTGGTGTAGCCTAACATTTGGTTGATAAACTATTAGCCTATTTATTATGTAAAGATGGCTTTGTACTTCTCTCGTATCTGAATATCTACTTAAACAACATCCTTCACATATGCAAAAAATGTGTTTGGAAAAATACCACTGCATGGCGATGCTCGCGCTGACCGGCAAAACCTACATATCGTACAAAAGACAAGTTAAATTGAGTCACCAATACTTTATGTTTAAGCTGCGATGTAAAGTTTGCAATGCTAGAACTGATTATATGTTGTGTGTGCATGGGAGGCACCGGCGCAAACACTTGGGTTCCTCATACCAGCGGAAAATGTGATAGCCTATCCGTCAGATAAGAGCAAGACATCATTCAAAATGATCTATTTTTATTTGTGTAGGCTACCTTCAAAATAACAGTGAAACGTTGTACTTTTGTAAAATAAAGAAAACATACAAAATGCACTTGCCGTCTCTGTGAACCTCTTCCTGAAATGAAAGAAAAACTCAGCCATACTGTCTAATGTTATACTTGTTACACAGAATGAGACATATATTTATAGAGACCTGAAGTGCCCGCTTTTACCTGTTTACGTTTTGCTTATTTGACATTAAATGCATTATATAAGTCACTTTATTCCATGGTCTGTCTGAATACTGGATTCTGATTGGCTGGCAGGTATGCAGTAAAACCATTCAATGCACAGGTCGTTCCAAGTCAGTTTAATCACCGCTCTATATTAATGCGCTGCTTTAATTGATTTACACTAACCAACAAGCATCACTCGCACACACACACACACAGAGAGAGAGAGAGAGAGAGAGAGAGGGCAGCGA